TACCTTAATCTAACCTTGAGACTAACCCCTACTTCTAACCTCTTCACACTACTAACTCTTTAACCTTCAACTAACCTAACTCTAAACTTCACTACTAACCTTACTCTTACTCTTCCATTCTAACTCTAACCTCTATCTCTCATGCACTAACCCTAATCTAAACCTTCACACTAACTACTCTAATCCTTCACAGTAACGCCTTTAGCACTCTTATCCCTTTCCTCTCACTACTCCTAATCTCCTCTTCCGTATCCTTCACACATCTTTTACACTACTCTAACTCCTTACCTCAGACAACCTGATATCGTGAACTCTAACCTTCACCACTACAGTCTCCTTACACATCTAACCTCTACATGAGCACTCTGTAGCCTACCTACACCCTATACCCTGGACTGCTGCGTACACAGTAATCTGCAATGGCATGATGCCGCGACCAATACTCGCGGATTCGCTCTGCGATGCCGACCAACATAGTCTATTCCTAGCGCATACAGCATGGAAACACCGAGAGATCGCCCTCCCGGGTCAGTATAGCTCCTTGCGGCTCCCTTCATTCGCTACTAGTTGTCCTCTCTTTATGCTTGCTACCTCCCACCTGTGCTTCACACACACTTCTACCACGTTTCTCCCCTCTTGCTTCAATCCAGACTCCCGCTTGGCCTCTATTTCACGTCATCATGAATGCAGACACAAACACTCCCATCCAGCTTCCTCTTCATCTACACTACCTACAATAACAAAACACTAGGACACACATCGCGCTCTGATGCTACTTATAATAGCCACATCACATCCGCTCTCCTACGTGCTCATACTATCTCCTCTCACGCTCGCCGCTGCCACATCCTCCAAACACCGCTTTCCCCACTTCGCTCTCATACCGCACACGGTGACATACCATGAATCGCACCCACGTTATATGAGTCTGTGCTATGTCTGACAATGAATCTGATCGTAATGCATTCGAACTCTCCGGTGAATTTGAGCGTTAGGTAATTGAGTGTTTTTGCGTCAACAACGCTACGTGTGGAGTGCAAAATTGGAATGCTATAATTATGCTAAGTCTGAGACATCCGAGAATGTGTATGGGTGCTGGGTTTGTACGGAATTGTCGCATTTCTGGGCTTTTCTGGCTCGCTCTAGGTTCGTTGGATCGTGCACTAGCCGTGGTTTTATGCTTTTGCTGCTCAGTTACTCTTTTATTCCTCTTTAGAATCCAACCTCCTTCTTCCCGTCACCACCTTTACCGCCTCTCCTGGTGCTGGGCACCACCTAGGTCGCTCTACGCGACCTCCTCCTTCTCTACCCCCCGGGGCCTCCTCCCCCTCCTCAGTCTCCTCTCTCCGTCACTCATTCGTCCCCTCCTCCATGCCTCTGGTGCTGCCTTCTCGTCAGCCCAATGTCATACCCACCTGGTATCTCCCGCCCTTTCGCCCTCCTCCTCCACTCCTCTCTCCTGCCTCCTCGCCTGCGTCCTCGGCGGATGTGGGAATTAGCTGGCCTCTTCCTCCCCCGTCCTCTGCCTCCTGCCTAACCTCGTCTGCTGCGCTCTCCTCTCCTCATGCCTGCCACCCTCTCCCTCCTCTCTCCTTCCTCTTCCTCCTTCTCCATCCTCCACCTATTTCCCCCTCCTCCTCTCGCAGCCACGCTTGCTTCCCACCTCCTCCCCCTCTTCTCCACCGCCGTCTTCCCTCCTCTCTGACCTTCTCCTGCTTATCATGTTCAACAATGATAAATCACAACACCAAGTGAAAGTTAATTGTCCGCGGAGGAATTGTCCCGCGGTAATTGTTCGGGGGTTAAATGTCCGGGGGAGCCAATATTGTGGGAGGTAAATGTCCGGGGGGTAATTGTCCGGGGGGTGAATGGCATGGGGGTAATTGTCCGGGGGGTAATTGTCCGGGGGGTGATTGTCCGGGGGGTATTTGTCCTAGTATACGGTATAGTCATATGGTATTTATAGCAGAGGTAAGGTGGGTGCGAGATCAGTGATACAGCTCTGCCGAGCAGGGCTGCCACTCAAAATTTTCATTTCTACCTAAAACGCATGCGCATTTCCACCTACTTTCCCCCTACGCCCATCGCCCAAGTTTTCACACACACAAAGTCACATTTCCCCTATAAAATCATGTAAATTATGCTTTTGTTATGGATGTGTTTACCAGAGACTCCAACCCTTAGCACCCTCCACCCTGGACCACCTTCCAAACTGGAGACTTACAAAATAATGAGAAATGTGCGCGAAGCCCAAAGTCCCTTGCATATTGTCCTCCATAACCACCAGGAGTAGATAATAGGGATAGTAATTCCCTATTATCTACTCCTGATAACCACTGATCACTGATCTTTTAGAGATCATTAAAACGGGAATTTCTTGAGAATTTTTGAAGATTTTTCGATATTTATTGAAAAAAGGGTTACAATTTTTGAAAATTCAAAAAACCCCTACTTCCCCCTACAAATTGTCGTTTTCACCGTAGGTATCCCTTATCCTCTACGGAAGGCTAAAACCAAAGATCGTATAGTGCCGGAGGCCTCCGGCACTATACGATCTTTGGCTAAAACTGCTAAAACTGCTAAAACCCCCTACGAGTGGCAGCCACAGTGGCAGCCTTGCTGCCGAGTGTTAGCCGAGTGCGACCTCACAGCGCCACCTATTACAAGTACAAGAAACAGCAATTACAGCATACGATTTTGGCAAGTACTCGCCACTCGGTGGATAAAGACCATTCTCTCTCAGGTTGTCACTTGGACGAACATTTTTATTACTGTTTCTAGGAAAAGGTTAGTTTTTATTGAAATACTTCATTACTGTATTTAGCGTTTCTTCGCAATTTTAAATTATATAAACTTAATGCAAATTTATAACTAGTAGTAGTACTAAGTAGAAGCACTGGCAGCAAGAACCACTCCGCTGCAGCTACAGCACACACACGGCCATTGTCTATAGCCGCGTTCACACGGAGCGAAGGAACTCGGGTCGAAAACGACTCGTGTCGAAAACGACACGGAGCGTCGTTGAAGAGAGCGTTCACACGACGCTATGCGAGCTGTGAGCTGAGAAAAAAATACAATGCGTTCAAGCGAAAATACAATGCGAATTAAACAATCAAACTCTGACTGACTTCCAACTATTCTGTTTACTTTCGTGTTGTGACGTACTAATTCCAACCCGAGTGGCGCGTTCACACGGCAAAAATGAACCAGGACTCGAGTCGTTTTCGACCCGAGTCGTTTTCTTACCGAGAAAACGTCTGTGTGAACGCTCGTCCCGGGACGCATTTGACACGGGTCGTTTTCGACCCGAGTTCCTTCGCTCCGTGTGAACGCGGCTTATATATAACATCATGGTGCCTAACTCGCCGCCGCAGTTTCCACAACTCACCGTTTTAAATCTGTTACAACTCCGGTGTTCCTGCAGGTGACGCCACTTTCCAACTATCATTGGAATCGCGGAAGACTGCTGAACAAGCTACACCCGCCATTTTTGAAAATCGGCCCACCACAATGCGCTCAAATCACAGGAATTCCTCAAATATACATGCGAAATGATCCTTCGCATGCTACATCTGAAGGCGGCTGCAAGCCCAATCGCTGGCGGCTGCGCTGATTGGCTGCAGCAAGCATAATGTCTATGCACGCCATAATGAAATCAACCGCCACTTCGCCCAGTTACAGACGAACCCGCATCCCGCTAGGCAATACAGATCGACGAGCGTACAGCGAGACAGGGGGTCCGTCTAACATGACTCACCTGCGATGTCAACAAACGTAGCCTCGCAGCCTGTCTGCGCATTAAACTTGCTGCAGCCAATCAGCGCAGCCGCCAACGGTTCAGCCAGCCGCCTTCTTCAGATGTAGCATGCGAAGGATCATTTCGCATGTATTTTTTAGGAATTTCTGTGATTTGAGCGCATTCTGGCGGGCCGATTGTCAAAATTGGCGGGTGTAGCTTGTTCAGCAGTCTTCCGCGATTCCAATGATAGTTGGAAAGTGGCGTCACCTGCAGGAACACCGGAGTTGTAACAGATTTAAAACGGTGAGTTGTGGAAACTGCGGCGGCAAGTTAGGCACCATGATGTTATATATAGACAATGGTCGTGTGTGTGCTGTAGCTGCAGCGGAATGGTTCTTGCTGCCAGTGAGTAGAAGTATTGCCGACAGTATTTCACTCATTTTCAAATTTCAGTCATATTCTTACTCTTAGAATCTTACCCTTCTTTGTTCAACGGTAGGCCTACCCCTAGCCAATAGCCACTATACGGAATATGCTCGCTACTGAAACTGCATAACTTAGTTAACTACACTCTACACTACAGTACAGACTACAGTACATGTCCATAAATAAATGTCCCTCTGCGACACAATCCCGGCACTTGCTCAATCCTAGTTTGGTACCCTGGTAATACTATTACTAATACTAATAGTACTAATAATACTACTACAGTACTAGTACTAGTATTAAACTAATACTATTACTATTACTAATAGTGGTATATATATATAGTTTGCATATATGCTAAACTAAGCGGCTCAAGGATAGAGAGCATGTCCAGTAATAATCATCATCCTCATTAGCCACAAGTTCCCATCTCGCTTAACACTACGTGGCGAGAGGGTCACAAACCGACGCATTAGAATTTTGTTCGGCAGTACGTGCGCTGCTATTTAACGTTAAATTATCTAACTTTTTATGATTCTTACAGCTTCTCTGTACTTCCATGCCTCGATTTATTATATGTGCGCTATCACTGAGCATGTACTTACGTGTCAGCGAGTAATTGTTTATAAATTGATAAGATAAAACTAAAAAAACGCCACCATTTTCCCATAGATATCCCATAATACGTAGCAATTTTCACGTACAAGAAGAGACATAAGAACATCCAGAATGGCATTTTACAACGTTCAAATAGTATAGCTGTTCGAAATTCTCTTATTTTAACATGTATTTCGAGGTAAATAATAATTAAGAAGTGTAGCGATAGTTGCAACATGTAACAGGTGAGGTCAAATGTGGTAATACATTGTTTTATTTACGAAATATTACGAAATTCGGAGTTTGCTTTCAAGCTACCAGGCATTTCGTATGGAAGGGTGTCAGGCTCCTCCGCCGTGTAACAGTCGGAGAGCCTGGTCGGTTTACTTCCTCATCAGCATTGGACTGTGGTGCTTCAATAGACACAATATTTTTGGATTACCAAAAGGCCTTCGACACGGTTCCACACCGCCGTCTCATAAGTAAGCTAAAAGGCTATGGAATCAGGGGAAATCTAATCGCATGGCTGGAAAGTTTCCTGATAGACAGAAAGATGCGGGTATCAGTGCACGGAGAATTTTCTGAGTGGAGCAGCGTCGACAGCGGGGTACCTCAAGGCAGGGTTCTCCAAGGGCACTTATAGCCTGGCGGCCCGCCAGGCTATCGTCAAGCCCCGCCATCCTAAAATGCACCCGCCACGCTAAATATCATAGCCGCCATGCTGGTGTATACACAAGAAGTTCAAACAATTAATACACGTTGGTCTCGATGCTACGGGTAAGGCAGTCCCACACACAAGCACAAACAGTCTCCCTAGCCCTAACCCTAACACTAACTCTAAACCGACTCGGCTATCTTATATACGCGTGTTATAGTACCAAAATTAATCTACGGTGTATAACCTTTTGCTTTCAATATTTTGCATCTGAACTGACAATCAATCCCAACCAACTGGTGTAGGCTAGCTGGCACAATAATGTTCATTTTCATACTTCAAATCCGAGTGTTTTCTAGCTCATCAAGAAATAATTATTTTGAATTTTCCGATGGCTTTGCCCATGCAAAACAAACATTTTCACCCCACATGCAGTGCTTCAAATTTACATACAGATTACAGAGTGTCCCAGATTGCATCTCAGAGCTTCTACAATTCAAAAATGTTGCGGGGGGCATGTCCCCGGACCCCCCTAGCAGTGAGTAGCACCCCCATGCTATAATTTAAAAGCTTGGAGAACCCTGCAAGGATCAGTCATTGGTCCAATCCTGTTTTTAATTTATGTTAACGATATACCAGACCTTGTAAATTGTAAGTTGAAAATGTTTGCAGACGATACAAAAATTTGGAATATAGTAAGAAACATCACAGACAATATTCTTCTGCAGACAGACCTCGATAAATTAAGTGAGTAGTCAGAAACATGGCTCCTGAAATTTCACGTTGAAAAATGCAAAAGGATGCACATAGGCAGTAAAAATAACAAATATATCTACACGATGAAAGACGGGGACCAAAGAAGAATTTTGAAGGAGGAAAAGGACATTGGGGTTTGGATATCTAACGACATGAAACCTACGATGCAGTGCATAAAGGCCTGTACAGCTACCAACGTATTACGGTCAATCAGGAAGTCCTTCAAGTTCCTGGACAAGAAAGCTTTCCTGATTCTATACAAAAGATTTATGCGTCCACACCTAGAGTACTGCATCCAGGTCTCCCTACTTTAGTAAAGACATTGAACACATGGAAAAAGTCCAACGAAGGGCCACCAAACTAGTATATGGGTTAAAAAAACGTCAAGTACGAGGACCGGCTGAAGTTTTTAGGATTACAATGTTTACATACGACAAGACTAAGAGGCGACCTAATAGAATCATACAAAATCATGAGAGGGAAATATAAACTGAACCCAAACACTTTCTTTTGTCCAGCTTCAACAACACTAAGGGGAAATAACATGAAATTATATAAACAACGGTCCAGACTCCAGGTGCGACAACACTTTTTTAGCCAGAGAGTGGTGCAACCCTGGAATAAACTCCCACAAAGTGCAGTCGCAGCTGCCACTACTAACGTATTTAAGGCCAGAATCGACCGATTCATGAAATCGCAAGATATGGGTGCATATTAGGCTAGGCCTATCACAACCCATCAGGGCTTGAATTAAGCGACGAGAAGGGCAAGGCAATTTTTTTAGGGCATGTGAGAAATCGCCTTGTATTTTCTCTAAAATAGAAGGACACAGAGGCAATTTTAAATGGCACCAAGGCAACTCTCAAAATTAGAGAAGGGCACCAAGGCACATTTGTAAAATAAAGGAAAACTCATAACAAATTAGTACATCAACATCGTCTTGTTTTTAATGTACAAAACAACATGTCACCATGTAAGCTTACATCGTAACACCGACCCCTGTACCCCCCTCTGCTAATGGAAGTACAGTAACAAGAAATTTTACATGCCCGCTATCAGGAGCGAATAATTATCCGATGCTGTTATTATTCCCTCCTGCGACTATCGGTTTTTAGCTCATCATTGCAACTACAGCACGCACGCGCACGTGTTATGTTGATTCGACTAAAAACGAAACTAGGGCAGTAGATTAAAGGGCACCGACGGCAATTACACAAAAGGGCAAGGCAGGTGACTGCCGTCGGTCGGGTTGGATTTTCAGGGGCAGTACGGCGATTGATAGGGGCACCGATGGCAATTGCCGTCGGTGCCGTCGGTTAATTCGAGCCCTGCAACCCATTATCCTTAACTAACTAACTAACTAACTAACTAACTAACTATCACCGTCCTCGACATCATCTCTATCCTTGAACCAACTAAGCCGGGGTGCTAAACTACGATTGCGATTGGGCTGTAGTAAAAACTTACAGGAAAATAATGTAGGAGCACCAGTTTCACACAGACTGACAGAGCTTGCTTCATTTCACACATTCATTCATGGAAGCTCAGATAAGACATATATATATATATATATATAGGAATATAAATAGGTAAACAGGTGACGTATGGTGGCAGCTATCGAATAAGATGAAAGAGACTGAAAATTGATGAAATCTTGCATCAAGTTTGAATGTATCCCTTTGTTTATGTCCCCGGTAACACGTTAGCTCAATAATAGGTTGAACATTGAAGCAGTAAGTATGTAAGCATGAGCACCCATTTGTTGCACCATCTTCACCCTTAAGCCAACTGGAGACTAGTAGTAATAAATGTCAATATGCATGTTTTGCAACTTTTTCTTGGAGCTGTTACATCCCCCATGAGTCTGACCTATTCATTAGTTGTTTTAGTGCACATCTGTCTTGATATACACATTTTAATTTTAATTAGTTAATGAGCATTCTTGTATTCTCATTCAGACTTAATTCTTATTTTGTTCACTTTTCTAGACCAAGAATTGCAATGGATATTAGACCCAACAACACAATCTACATCAACAACCTAAATGAAAAAATCAAGAAAGATGGTAAGATCTGAGTTCTGTATTGTTTAACTGCCTTGAAAATGGTACTATCCTATAGCAGAATATCTGAGTAATGCTGGGACTTGCTGTTTGAAATCTACCCTACAATAGACAAGCATCATATTTCATGCAGGATTGATTGTATATTGTATTCCCAATAGTATGGTGTTTACACATTGTTGTTGGATTTTGGATCTTAAGAAATTGTTATATCATATATATGCCCACATTGTATTTGGACCGATTGCAGAATTTATCATTCTAATCACTGTAAAGATGTGCTTTACGAAAAGAAACGAAAAGACATTCTTTACGAAAAAGAACGTAAAGGTATCCCCTGCTTTTGATTTCAGAGTTGAAGAAGTCGTTATACGCAATCTTCTCACAATTTGGGCAGATTTTAGACATTGTCGCTCTAAAAACACTGAAGATGCGTGGCCAAGCATTTGTCATCTTCAAAGATATCAATGGTGGGACAAATGCACTGCGTTCAATGCAGGGATTCCCATTTTATGATAAACCCATGGTAAGAAATTAACTTTTTCCCCTTTGTTCACAATACATCAGTATATGTTGTATACATGGCAAATCTATAATGCTGTAAGGCAAAGGGAAATTTAGCCAAATTGAAAGGAAATGGATTCACCAATTAGTCATCTTCAAAGTACTGTCGATTAAATGGAAAATTGAAAACCCTATTTAGTGAAATTGCATTTTTATCTATGAATGAATGCTGTATAAATTATTATCTCAGCTTATAATGCAGCAAATTTTAGAAGGAAACTGATTGAATTTTTTTTCATGATCACAGCGGATAGCATATTCAAAAATCGACTCGGATATAATCGCAAAACAAAAAGGCACTTTTGTTGAGCGACCAAAGAAACCAAAGCGTGTCCCAGGAGAAGATTCACAGATGTCGAGGAAAGAAAGGAAACGGGCACAAGCGAAGAAAATAGAAGATCAGCAACAGGCAGTGCAGGCTCAGCGACCACAGCTTCCTCCTGCAAGCATGATGCCAGGACTTCAGCCCAGCTTTGTCCCACAGCCTCCCACCATGCCAGGTAAGCGCTAATCCTGACATCACAATTTATTCTCGCACATCAGTCCCCATCGTGTCAAGTAGAGATACTATTTGCAGTTTCCCATTCTAAAAAAATAAACGAAGATGTGACAATGTGACATGTGACAAGTGTCTTAAAATAAATATAATTGTGCTATTGTTTGAGGATTAATACAGTTGGTGTCAGCGTGTCAGAGTATTGGTAGCGGTGTAATCCGGCTCACGCAGCTTGTGAAAGTAGTGGCCAACATTTGAATTTCTGTCAAGGTCAACCTCAGGTGGCGGCTGCGATTCCAGAGCAACCACCAAACCAGATATTGTTCCTCACGAACCTGCCAGAGGAAACCAACGAAATGATGCTCTCAATGTTATTCAACCAGTAAGTTCCTCTCATCGCTTTCTCGTTTTAACACATTGTTTTAAAGTTCTTGAACTGCCTTTCACTGTTCATAGCCTTAAAAGTCATTTACCTTTTTGTATTGGTTTCTTTGTGCTTACCCAGCTGATCTATCAAAGTACCTCATTAGTTTTTAGCTCATCTGACATAGTCCGATGCAGCTTGTAGAATCGCATGAGCGTGCGTCTGGCCGTCTGTCCGTCCGCCTGTCAACAGTTGGGCACAAATCTTAACCGCTCGACGTACGATCACGATATTCGGGACGTGGGGGGGTAATCCGAAAACGAGTTGTGATGTCAAAGCTGGGGGGTCAAAGGTCAGAGTCCAAAGAGGTGTAAAAGAAGGAACATTTCCTCCTTAACTTAAGGTATAGGGAGGAAATGCAGAATTGCGGCACAAATCTAAACGGCTCGACCTAGGCTCGTGATAGTTGGTGTATAGCATCATGGTAGGAAAAGCCATCACTGTGCCAAAATTGGAGGTCACAGGTCAAAGGTCAATGGGGCACAGGGCAGATTTTAGACATTTTCTGAGGACATGTCTGACGGAGCCGATTGAAAAACTTTTTTGTTCCAGCGGTGACCTAACATTTTTATGGCTTTATTGAAAGGACCATGAAATGTACTTTCGCTGACATGCGAAGAGTAAGTGTCGAATAACCTTTTGACCATAGCAGAGCGGGTTAACATTGATTTGTTGACTGTTAACAAAGGACTGAACGGCTTTTGCTATTATTAGAGCCCATACCTGTGTGAATGTGAGGTTACAGTTGCACAGTTGAATTGCAAAGGCAAATGTTTGTTGAACAAGATTTACGCTCCTTAAATCATATTATTTTCTAAAGCAGTCTGTCTATAGCACCCTGAAGGCTGAATCAGTGAATGCTCGCGTTGGTAGGCAAAAACACGGGGCAGCCCATGGCTGGCACGCTTCTAATCATAATTGTTGCCTGCCAACCTACAATGCACATGTGTCTGCAATGCATAGAGATTAGGTGGGTGCAAAAGTGTAGCTGATATATTTGTTCGAATTGGCTACGAAAGTCAAACAAGAATAAAGAAGACTTATGTATAAGACGTCTTGCTATGCACAAATAAATTTATCAGCAGAACACCAGACACCAGATGAGCCCTGTCGCACTGCGGCACTTGATTGTTGCTATTGGTGTTTTTCAATGTTAATTAAGTGTGGCTGTGTTTTTGTTAAATTGGTGTTTGTACTCGCGAGTTGAATGTTATTGAAGAGTGGTATATATAGATTGATGTAAAAATTTTCATTTTGGGTGTAATATTATATTTATTTTGTTTGTCTCGTACACTTCAGATTTCCGGGCTTCAAGGAGGTACGCCTCGTCCCAGGACGGCACGACATCGCGTTCGTGGAGTTTGAGAATGAGCTGCAGTCAGCTGCAGCTAAAGACGCCTTGCAGAGCTTTAAGATCACGCCAACTCATGCAATGAAGATCACGTTCGCAAAGAAGTGATTGCCAACAGCACGGCTCTGGGTGATGCGTAGGTGTGCTCGTAAAGGTGTGCCGGGTAGGGTAGTTCCAGATGTGTCCGCCAACACCCCAATGTATGCACACAATGCCCTCGGGTAACCAGTGAAGGTCTGAAGTTATGTCATGGTGTGCTTTTCTGTCAGTTGTGATAGAGTGGTTTTACAGAGTTCCAGTAAAAGATGGACTTGCAAAATGTTCTACTTTCCCTATGAGACTTTGCAGTGTGTTTGTGCGGAAAAGGGCCCTTCTCCATCAAACAGCCCCCCTCCCCTATCATTGATCAGTCTGATTAACCTTTTCAAGGGGTGTATATTATTGACTAGGAGTATGAACACAGCAAATGGTGAGTTTGTATCATATAAGTAAAAGAGTGTGTAAATGACTGACAATTTTTGTGGTTTCTGTGCATGAAAGTTATTGGCTGTGTACCAGTTTAGCATTGCACTCCTGCCAAAAACTGGTTAAGCATCCCAACTTACAGCATTGCACACTTGCTGTTTAACTTGGGAGATTGCATTAGATCTGTTCCAGTTTAGAATTGCACACATTCTGACATTCCAAGTCTGGCCGAGTTTTCGATTTGGCTGCATCGCACTCTAGCTATGGACATATCAAGTTGTATTAAGCCTGCTTGTAAGTTAATAATGTTGTTTTGCATACAAAGCAATTGTGACTATTGCTCGTAAGAGTGATAACAATTTAAGTTTTATTTACATGAGTGTTTTCAGTATTAAACATTAACCCTGATCTCGTGCAAAGAATCAGCAAAAATAAATAAAATGCAAATAAATTAAATGAAGTATTTCAAAGTTGCTATCTTGTCAGAATGTTATAATTCTATAAATCAAGGAAAAAGAGCTAGAATTGTGCTTGGGTTTGGATGTTCCATATATGCTTTTGATGACACGTGTCTGTGGACATCAATGACCATTCTTGGTCAAGTTGCTATCCTCCACTAGATGCCGAGGACATGATTATCACTAACTCGGATTTATTATGGTGCTAGGGATATAATAGCCATCTGGGCCACCATTCCAAAGACTTTTCCAGACCATTCCACTGAGCTATATTCAGTGCTACAATGACTAGTGAAGTTACAAATTGTCAAAAATTAATGTATACTTTGAAACAACTGCACCTATCTCCTGAATCTGATAAGGACCTGTGGGGATTGAAATGACACAACAGGTAAGTTGGCAGGTTAAAACGTTGCCATATTTGGTAATCGTCAATTTCTGTTGTAAGTGCGAGTTCCACAGTAAAAAGATGATTTTTGAGTATGAAAACAGGTATTTTTTAAATTTTTATTCTACCACGTGAGATAGATAGGCCAAACATAGTGACAGTACACATAAATGATATAGCAACCAAGAACACTAATAAATATACCTAACCAAGCAAGCGTGCTGTGTGGCTACTGTTTGCAATACAATTTATGTCACCTATAAATTTACTACTAATACTAAGATAACATTTAAAATGGAATTGTAATTGATATGTCAAAGTTCATGCTTTCTGAACTGTAATTGAGAGAATTGACAAATTTGAAATATGAAAAAATTCTACATCAGCTAGAATAACTTATAGCAAAATACATCAGCAATTGCAGTTTACCCCACTACTTGCTAACAAAATTAAAGTTCGTAAAAATATAAATGAGTTTGCCACGTTATAACCTGATAAGTAAAAGTAATCGAGGTGGTCTAAAACGTAGTACATAGTGGAAAAAGGGAAATGATATTATGCTTGCAACGCTATTGTGCACAACACGTCAAGTGGGAATTTGTTATCTTCCTCACAAGTAATTTTTTTATAAATCAGCTGGTTACACTTTCATTATAAAAGAAACATTAATATAAATTACACAATAAGCAAATCCTGCTTACGAGACATGAAAACGATCTCACAATATGCATGTCACATTACATACATGTGTGGATGAATAGTTCTAATATAAATGCACTTGATACTAAACTATATTAAGAGGATAATTCCTACACATGTCTAGTCTACATTCTCGGTTCATAAAATGAACGTAAAATTGAAATAATTAAAAATGTAAAACTTATAAAAGTTCATGCAGTAATAAAACTACAAACTATTTTACCATCCCCGTTGCAGTAAAGATTTCGAATGATAAGGTATGACCTTCGACAACCACAAAACTTTTAAATACTTTGTGTCTTGTAGCCATGTACGACACAAATGTAAAATGTGTAATATCTCATTCAGTGTGAAAGACTAAGAATACTCATTTCAAAATTGGCTATAGTAACCGTGGGACAATTCACACAAATTGAGTGCTGACAGGGTGGTGAACTTCCAAGCTAAGAAACACTGCGGAGCAGGAGAGATGGTTAGCAGAAGTTTTTCAAACTAGTTATCAATTTCTTGTTTGCTATAATTTGACGGGCCTGTCAAAATCATGCTGGCTGGGAACATGGGCTTCAACTGTATGTGACTAATCTCATCATCTACATTCATCTGCAAGAAATAAGAAAACACTTTGTCTACATCCTGGACCACCTTTGGAATTCTGTCTGGATACCCTGAAGGAGGAATTATGATGTGGTTGGCTAGCAATACCTGCTGGTTATATGTCTGCCACATATGATATGTTGAAGGTGAGGGTGTTCTTCTCTCTATACTTCACATGCTACGCCATATAATAGTTAGATGTATTACTGGTCACTTTTACATATGATAATCGTTAGGAACACGTCAAATAGAAACTGCACTTATATGTTAAAATGCCCTGGTTTATCACGCAGCATACACTACCTGACTGGTCAAGATCATATTGGTCAATGGTTACTGATCCCCCCCAAGGGTTTTAAGGAATGCAAACCAGAACACCTTATGTTTAAGATGGTAGCATCATGTAATAAACCTTCCTAATCGAATTATACCTATTACAGACAGCAGCCATGAAAATAAGAAATTCTAAGATTTCTTGACTTCACCCATGAGCTACAGCAGTCTCTTGGAAGTCCAAATCAAAGCCTCATCCTTGGGTGGGAGGAATGTCAAAGGGACAAAGCCCCTTGCAAAATCCATAGGAGTTTGAGAAAATTTTGAAAATTAGATGAACAATCAAATGAACAAGAATTTTAGTCATGCGTACTATAATTTATGATAGTACACACATTGAAAATTGTAGCAAATGTATTGTACTCCATTGCTTTAAATTGATACGTTTGATATATTGGAAAAGGCCTTTTGATAGTCAGTGAAACTGATATCTACATAGAATGCTCCATAAACCATCCACCTGAGGTAAAATCACTTGTATGACACACAAACTACCTGCACAGCGAGATAGCAGTGCAGACTATTTTGAGCTGTGCACCACACACAGGTGAAAATACTATCAAATACACTGTCTATGTACGTGTGAACATGATCATAATTTTCAGATAGTAACAAAATCTATTGATGCAAATAACAGTTGGAGATCTATAAATATACTCCCCCACACAGCTCAACGGATTGGCCTCGATCTCAAGAATGTTGAATTTTACAACAAAAATTCTGAAAATCGGTGAATCTGGAGAATATTCTCATGCACGAGACTGCAAAGTTATGCCTATTACATTCCATTGCTTCCACCAACCTGAAAAGGATTATGAAAATATGTGTATATGTAATATGTGAGTATACTTTGAAAGATTGTTAGGGTCCGTGTCCATCCTGTCTTGCATTCACTCGTTAGTGTCACCCAATTCTTGTGTTGTTGGTTGAATGTCGGCACTTTTTGCATTTTCGTCATCTTTCTGTGGTAATGGAAATGTTAACTTATAATCAAGATTGTCATTCTACAAGGCACACGTGCATTACCTGTTATTTAGCTGTTTAGCCGAGTACTAAAAGACAGCACATGATATGCATTCATGCTATAATACACTTTACATGTCAGGAACGTACGAAACATAAAGGACTAGTAGAATAGACGTACTTGGAACTGCTGCTGTAGCGTATAATTAAATACTTGCTGAGTCTCTTAAAGCACATCCTTCTATCAAAATATATTTAAATACTTGCCGTTTCTGTTGGGCTCGGCTTGTCCGTCTCTTCTTCATCATCTTCTTGCTCCATGAGTTTTCTCGCCATCTTTACTTTCGCAAATTCATTGTAATGAGCTTTTCGCTTCTGTTCGAATTTGCTGTGTTGTTCTACAAATTAAAAAAAAAACAAGTTAAATTTACATAGATGACTTCTTATAAAAATATTTGGTTCTGTGTCAAAAAAATTGAAAAATTCTTTTATTTTATGGATGAAGTCTCATAAGCATGGTATTAACACTGATATTTTCAGTGGATTTATTCTGATTGCCACTCTACCGAATTCTGCCGTCGATGATATTTACAATCTGGTGTGCCTTAGTGCAGCAACCCTAAATGGTAAAGCTTTGACAGAGGGTTCACAAGTTTGATCAGGTTGGACATTGATGCCCGTGTTGTACTCTATGGCAACATGCAAACTAGAACTGTTCGCAACATACCAATTTTGAAGACTAGAAAGTTATGCTACCTATGGATATTTTTACAATTGTCGATATTGCACAATAAGCTAATAATTCTACACACAGTCAACTCAGAAGTCAAAGTGAGTCCACTGAAAAAATCAATTAAAAAAATCAGTGAACTCAAGTTCTGTTTATAGGGGATCTATTTCAGGCATATCATTCCTGCCCCTATGTACGATCTGCAATTGATCTCAAAGTTTCACACTAGAATTTTTCCAATGTTTGAGGGATTTGATCATTATGAGTACGCTTTTTGGACGTAGAATTAATGGCTCTGAGAAGTGAAATATGTTTGGAATTCAGAATTGGTTTTCGGAATGTAGTTTTTTGGAAGCAAACAGGGAAAACGTTAGGACTTAAAAGTCATCCAGTTTAACGTAAGGTTCAGTATTGAGGGTGCTCAGAATTTTGAGAGTTGACTGTAGTATATATCAGATAACACAAAACTGCTAGTAATGTGTGACATACCACGTGGAGCAAAAACACGATTTTTTCGATTTTCTGCTTTAAACTTAGCAACAGTGTGGTCAGTCTACCTATATGACTGTCACACATACTGTGACCATGAGATGTTATGTGCAGTGATCAATTTTGAATATACATTAATTACCAATATCTTCTGATGTCTGGAGACACTGGTGATTGCCATCATCTGAAGCTGTTATGGGTTGTCTCACCGAAGGGTCTTCTAACGTATCTGTTAATCTGGAGTCAATAGAGTATTAGATATAAAATTAGAAAGAATCTAACAGATTATCACACACTGTCTAACAGACAACCTAGTTTTGAATGTGGGAATTTCACTGTCACACAATTCAAATGAGAAGGAATCTAACACTCAAACACTGTCAAACAAACAAGCTAGCTTTGAATGTGGGATTTCCACACCAGGTTCGGGTTGTCATCACTGAATAATACTTAGATATGAACCTAACCAACATAACCAGCTAAACATTTGTTGGCACATATTTTATGTTTCAAACTCACACACAGGTAGTTCTACAGTTTGTTATTATGCGCAGTTACGTGTGAAATTTCTTGTGTTACCTAGCAACAGACGAGAAACATACCATAAAACGAAATAAACTATTTCAAAATAGCGGCATTAGTGTACGCTTCTCTACAATGTGCATACCTGGCATGCCTGACATAAAAAGACAGTATGCAAACATTCTAGGTTGCTCCACACTACACACGTTACATTTGTTGGTGACATGTCTCATAACATACCTGTTAGCCAAGTCATCTGGATGAACATGCTCATCAGTTGTGTTGTCTTTTTCATCATCACTGCCATAGCTGTATGGGGTTTTTGGCTCATCAATCTTCATGTGTCCATAATCCTTGTCAGCTGGATGGTATGTTGCAATTATGTTCATCTCGTCCCATTTTGCGCCACCTTTAGTTTTATCACCATTTTCTCTGCAAGGCAAAATCACAAAATTGTTCCATTATAATTAGTGTGATTTTTGCATCTGTGTATTCTAAAACATTAACGTGCTCACAAAAACATTTAGTACCTCATTACATAGCAACTTAGTGCTATTTGCAACCAAAGCATAATTTTTGGTTTCCCAAGTACATTGGCAGTACTTACTCATCAAGAGCTATAATTTCAGAGCAAACTCAGTAATGAGAAGGGTTAAATATCCCAGATTTGCTCACACCACCCCATACAAATCCATAACTGAATTACCAAAAGTTTGCATGTTCAAA